ATCTTTTAGGTGAGCTTACTGGAAGATACACAAGTTGCTACTTCTAGTAGAGGTCAAAGCCCATCATCCTTACACCACAATATAAATTTGACCCAGACGCTTCACCACTGTTTCAGTCCTCCAGATGCCATGCTACTAAGAACAGACTGCCCCACTCAATCAAATTCAAAACCGTGGCATTTACAAAGGCAAGAGTCTTTTCTTCAGTCAAGTTCTAATATCACAAATCCAGAAGCACTACTTCATGGGTCAAATTTGACAGGCCTGGTTTCAGCAGCTGACCTTAGAAACCTAACAGCCCATGATGATAATTTTGATGAAATTAAACTCATGTCTTTGGCTTTGGATGAAGACTTTGGTCCTCTAGAAGTTTCTCAGATCTTTGAAGAGTCTGGCTCAGATTTGGGACTATCTTTGAATTCAAGTCATAGCACCACCTCTTACTCAGTCTGCTGTGAAGATGCTGTTGGGTACAGCAGTGGTGTGAAATCTGCTCCTTCACATGGCATAGGAGCTGTTGATGGCCATTGCCAAGAAAACGCTAAATATGACCATGTGGAATATCCAGGTGATGCAGTGTGTCCTAGAGAAGCCACACTTCAGCAGTTTGTTTGTAACCACACTTACAATCAGCTGCCAAGCCAAGGAGCATCCACTCAAGAGCATCAACAGTTGCTGATGAAGAAATCGAACAATGTAAAGGATAGGTGCCATAATTCTACTGATACAAACCATAGCAGTGATGAATGCTCTGCAAAAGCTCTGAAAATACCGTTTTCAGTCGATGAAGTTGTGAGCATGCCCATCGACTCTTTCAACACCATGCTAGCAAAAAACCAGCTGACAGACACTCAGGTATCGCTTCTACGTGACATCAGACGAAGAGGAAAAAACAAGGTAGCTGCCCAAAACTGCCGTAAACGCAAACTAAATGCAATTCTTGACTTGGAAGAAGACGTGTGTAATCTTCAAACACAAAAGGAGAGCCTTAGAAAGGAGCACTCTCAGTGTAGCCAATCAATCAGCCAGATAAAGCAAAAATTAAACAACTTGTACTGTGACATTTTCAGTAGACTGAGGGATGACCAGGGTAGACCTGTTAATCCACACCAATATGTCATTCACTGCAGTAGTAATGGTAATATTTTCATAATACCCAAACACTTGGTTAAATCTGAACAGAAACAAGATACCACAAAGGAGCAGAAACAAAGATAAGATGGCTGAAGATAACGTAGGTTTTATTTCGCCTGGAAGAACAGAGAGACTTGTGTGAAAACTGGAGGTCAGTGATTACAGTAGTTCAAACAGAAACAACTACACTTGAGCAGAAACACTTCATATTCAAAGATCTGTCAAACTCAGCTGATTGTGATTTGTTAGAAAGTCTAAAAGCTGAAACTTCTGAATGAGGAAATCAGAGTTTTAGTCAGAATTAAAAGAGTTAGCCCATCATTGTAGGTGTAGTTTTACATACCTTTGTTAAAACTAGGAATTTTGTTGCTGATGATGGGGGGAGAGGGGAGAACATCAGTGGGGAGTAAAAGCCAGCTTTAGATCAAAGTTACACATGCAAGAAAAATGTGTTTTAGTCTTGAGTACCTGATTCTTCATACAGAAAGTGACCTTATTTTATTTTCTAGCACTGAAAGAAAAAGTGTAGCTCTAGTGCATTTCCAACTTAAATTCACTGTGGGTTCCCGTACTCTCAAGAGATAATCCATGCTTTGCATTTGTTCAGAACTGTTCTGCTTTTCCTAGTTTTCCCTTGAGAAGAGAGGCCCAGGAGGCTACTGCATTTTTCCTCACATACTTTCACCATCACAGCTTCAAGCAGAGATAATGTACCAAATAATTTTACAACTCAAATGCTCAATCTGCAAATAGATTCTGAAAGTGTCTGATTCAGTGGTGTCTTACCTTCACCCTCTGCAACTGAATAATTCTGTTTTCTTTCATGAAAACAACTGATGGTGAACAAGTTCCCATTCTGCTTCCTAGTGCCTGGGATATATTTGTGTACCTTCCTTTTCCCACTGTTTTGATACCTTCCTTAAGGAGAAGTACTAGAGTTTTTCTTTTTGGCTTTATTAAACTGGTATTTTTTAAGCGTCTTCAACCTTACAGATTTTTTTTTAATATTTTCCCTAATCTTTTTTGAAGTAAATTAAAATGAGCCAAATTACTGTTTATCTGTTCTTGTGACTATGAGTTTACACTGATAGCACTGTGATTGAAGTTTTTGGTTTTGACATTTATTTTTCTCTGCTATGAAAAAGAAGACACTTTATTCACTCACACACTTACAACATCCTGTCCTTTACTATTTTACAACCTGAAAAGGTTGCAAAAAGAGATGGCCTAAAAGGCATGTAGTGAATGACTGGGAAGGAATATTAAGGTATATTAGTCTGTAAGATATGAAAATAAATACTAATATCTAGATAGCACAAATAATTTTTTATATATTTTATAAAAAAGACACATAAAACTGGTTATGAAAAAAATTCTCATTGGTCATGGCATAATGACAATGGAGCAAATTTACAGTCACGTATGTTAAAAAAACTGCTTGTACCAACACGTAAGATCTACATATACAAGCTTAAATGCCAAATTATACTTTTTGAAAAAACCTGCCTGTACGATGTAAATCATGTTGGTTGCTTGCATTTATTTAAGAAAACTGATAGTGTATCAAGTGATATTTTCTAAAAAGGGGGCACTGACTCAGTGCCAAGTGCACTGAATTATCAAATGAAATCAGCCTGTTTGAACAATTTGCATTTTATATTAAAAAATTTCTTTTAAATAAATGTGTGCATGTTTTATTTTTTTCACCACAGCCTCAAATTCAGTGTAAATTCATAGCAGAAAGTTTCGTTAGTGAGGCTGTGAAATTTGCGGCTTCTGGTGAAGCAGCAGTGTGAAGCATATCTATCCTAACTGGTTTTCACAAGGAATTCATCTAATAGCTAGATCACAAACTTCAACCAAAACATGCAGTAGGTACCAGAAGCATATGCTGACTTGTGAACTTTATTTCTAAACTGCAGGGGGGAAAAGTACATAATTGAGTCAGTATTACTGTAATCTCTTAATTAAATGACATAATAAGCATTTGAAAGTCTTACCTTCTGCAGGACCAGGTCTTTAAGCCTATTTCCTTGCCCATGTGCACAAATTCTGATACTAGACTGGGCTCATAACTGATAAATCCAGAAAGCCAAGTAGTTGTTTTGGGGCCTCACAAGGGCAGAGGAAAAAACCAACCAAACAATAAAAGCTAATCCTTTCCTTTAGCAGCCACTGCTTCAGTAGCAGTGGCAAGTCTCTATGGACTCTTGAAAACCCAGGTGCTAAGATGACATACACCCAATTGGGAAACAGTTACTGCCCTCAGCTAACTTTACCCTCATTATTTTTCAATAACTGTATGTGTGAATCTCAATTTCCCAGAATTCAATGAACTACTGTACCCTTACAAAAACCTCTTAGGCAAAATACCAGTTTTGAGTGGACTGTAACAGTACTGACACAGACAGTGAGCATTAGGTCTGGATGTACTGCACCATTTTCTTTAACATTCAACTACCTGCCCATAGAACAGACAAAACTGTAGGCCAAATTCAGACCAATGTCCTGTTTTTACAGTTTGAGTGGACTGCCATTAATATTACCTAACTGGTGTTAGCTTTTGGAGTGTCCTTCCCTTCTGCAGTTATCTAATGTTTAAAGAAAAAAAAAAAAAAAAGGCAACTAAGTCCCAACATTGCTGTCTTGGATATATTTTATATTTTCACATCCTTCAATGACTTGTAGTTAAGCCAGACACCCTGAACCTTTTAGTATACTTCATTTTGCAACCCCTATACAAAAAATGCGAGACTGTACAGGACTTACAGAGCTATTCAGGAAGACAGGACTGATAAAGGAAACTTGTTACTGAAATGGTTGTAAAAGGTGGGCAACAACTGATTGACACCTGTCCAGGCTTCATTACTGGATAGATCTTAACTTTCAAGAAACCAAAGCCTAAAGTGTACAAATCAGGAACTTTATGATGTAAAAAATATGATGGATTATCTAAGATGCTCTGCGTAAAAAGCTATTAGGGCTGCATCCCACCTTACTACTACGTAGAAAAGCAACTCCAACATAGGAACAATAAAAACCTTAGGACACTGCAAAGCTGAGGATTGTAAATGTAGCTGTTGATTCAGCAACAAAAAACGGGAATGTCAAGGTGGGACTCTTTGAAATATTGTTCCCTATGGTAAAGCTAGTACATAGCCTGTAACACTTCAGGGTACCACTACATTTTTCACATTAATAGTGAAGAGTGAGAAGTTATCTTCGAGGTAGAAAAGGTCAGATTATGTATAAAGCCAGTGAGTGGTGGGGATATCACACTACATATATATTACCGCTATTACTGCTGGAAGCAACATGCTTGGGCACTACAGAGCATTACCTGCTGGCTGCCCTTAGATCCACACCTTTTCAGGAAAAACATCCAACCAGAAACAAACGCGAGCCAAGTACTTTATTAGATTGCAATACCCACTGTATGGTTTATGACATGTACGGCTGAACCCTCCTGCATTGGCATCCTGCAGACAAGCCCTCCCCGAGGAGTCACAGCACAGAGCTTGAGTACTACACACACACTGAATGACCACTACAGCACCGAAGTGCAACTTTACCTTCATGGGTTTGTTTTTATTCAACAGATTCGGCTTTCTACAAAGCCAAATTTTACAAGCTAAGTGTTCCTGCTCCAGAGCTTACAATCTAGTTTTAGATGGGAGAACCAGAAGAAGAAATTTCAATGAAGAAATACGAGACAAAGCAGTTTCATATCAATTTGTCAATCTTTGTCCCAAAATATACACACAGCATTTGTATCTCTTATGGGAGTCAGAAGTACAGTATTAACAAGAATCTTGAGGAGAGTTAGCAGAGGCCTATAAATGAGGCAACAGGACACTCAACACCAGTTTGTAGTGAAAAACTATTTATTAAATAAACCAAATAAAAATGGCACGTGTAACCAGTCTTATCACTGCAGTGTACCTCGTAAAAGTGCTGCAACTTGGCACCTGTGCTAGAACTCCATTAAGTGCATCAGCCACTCATTTTTTCACACATGAATGTCCCAACGTGAACCAAGAGCAAGCAGACCAAATAAGGACGGAAAGGGGGGCACTGGTAACAGCAATTGTCTAGGACTTTCCCCCAGTCACACCTTTTCATACAATGAAGCAACATGGGAGGTCACACATAGCTTGTACCTACATGGTCCCCAAATATGTTCACAGCACTGTCAGGCAAGTCACACAGCTATTTATACACCAGTAATTTTACTGCTGATAAACAAGGTCTTGCTCCATTAACTGGAATAACTCCTGACAACACTGAAACTTCTGCTGCAATGCAAATCAACAGTGGCTGCAAAGCAAGAACACGACTGTTAAGAGGGACAACTTCTGGAAAAATGGATTTGTGTTACCTGGGCAAACCCTTCCATGTAACACTCCTATATACATCCCTAGTACACTGAATGGTATGGCTGAATAAACGAGGACGGGGCATCGACCTTAGGAGGAAAAAAACCAACAGCACTACTATGGGGTTTCACTCACATCACACACCCCGCTTTGAAAACAAACACTACAGCTACAGGGAATGCACTGTTCCAGTATGTTCCCAGCAAATCATCCTGCACCACGGATGCAGTCAAGCTGCCAAAACACATTCAGCACACAACTCCTTGAAAATTCCTCTCTGTTTCTGGGGCTTGGTTTTCCTTCCCCAGAAGCAGTATGATTTCATCCATAAAGTATCATGTACGTTCATCATAAACCTAAAACACAGTTGTCTTCCCCACACATAACAGAGTTCAAGTCCTATTCATTTTACAATATTAAAAGCAATTGTTTGCATTTTCCTAAATGGTTTTAAGCACCTGCAGCATAACAGAAATCAATAAAATCCAGTTTTCATTGTAAATAACACCATCCCAAAGGCCAGACCCCTAGTATTGACCTTCTCACCATCACTTTATACACGAATCACCCACTGTATTTTTTGGCTCCCATACCAGTTACCAACAAGTTGTTTTTCATTCCTCCCTAAGTCTGGTGCAGAAAGTGTTTGCTGTGGGAAAACTGGGCCTAGTACTGACAACCTCATCCTTATTTGTTAGTACAATATATGTTTTTATACATAATGTTACACTTACTTTAAAAAAAAAGGCTGTAGTGACATAAACCCAACTTGACAGAAATTAAGAAATACACATTGTCTACAAATTGATAATCAGGAATTGACCACACACACTGCTGGTTTTATTTGAAATTGCTGACTTCCAGCATCAGGCTGACTCCAAAGGGTGATTTCTCTCACCAAATTCACTGGTGAACACTGCAACTGTCACTTGTTTTAACTTTTGAAGAACATACCAAGAGAAAAGTTATGAAAAGTTTAACAGTTAAGACATCAGGAAACTTAAAACATCAGGTTTTCAAGACTTTAAATATCTGCTAACTTCATTTTTGCATAGTGTTGTCCCCTATACACTCCCTTCCCCCACTGCCAGCAGATCAAAATTAAAACATCCTCATTATGGAAAATATAAGACATTTAATTCAAGTAAATTTTAAACCTTGTTGCAAAACTACTGAAAGACTATCAGAAATAGAGAATTAATTACTGCCCTTCAAAGTGGTTTGCGTTTTTTTAAATGTTGTATGAATGTGGACTTGGCAACTGTAAAGAAAAAACCTCCATCAACTATATCTAAGTTACAGGAAAGAAGGCAAATTCCTTATGATCTGGTCAACTCATTCTGTTGGAAAGAAGAAAGTAAAGAAGATTTTATCTTCATTTCCTGCTTCCGTTGCAGCCCACCGGTTACCTATGCAAGTATTTTAAAAGTTCAATTTAAGAAACAGAAAAAAGTTGCATGTGAATCCTTAAACAGTATTATAAAGAAGGTTAAAGACACGATGATTCTGCCATAGCTAGGCATATAAATTTCAAGTTTAGAATGAACCATGTATGAAGGTAACTGGTTAAAACAGTATAAACTGAAGAGACCTTCCCTCAAATACCATTCCCAACTGAAGTTTTCTCAAGCTCAGACTTAGTGTTTGATTTAGCAGGGTTTTCATTTTGTTTGGGGTTTTTTTGAATTTTTTTCCACCCCAGATGCAGCTATCAATACATTTCTGGCACAGCAACAACTCTACATTCCATTCAGTCTTCCTCTCTTCACCCTAAAAACTCTTTACAGGTGAAAAGGATATTGTCCTATCGCAATTTGACAAACTGACAAACACAGCCGAAAAGATCTATTTTTAAGCACTTGTGTCCAACAGCAAAGAGATCAGCGTTTTTAAGTTGCAGCACTGTTTCTCTCAAGAGAGAACAGATGCCTATGGTCAGAGAAACAAGTTCTGTAAAGACACTTATCAAACTGATTCTGTTTTAAATTCTCCTCAAAATGGAATGTTTCAAATCATGAAAGGGTCTAAAAGCTGCACATAAACATTATTTAATGTTAGATACACACTAAGTTTTTATTAAGCATTACACTAGAACTACTTTGGTATAAAAAATACTTTATTTTAAAGCTATGAAAGTTATAAATATATGTAGTTAAACTTTCTACTCACAGAATGTTTGCTATTTTAACATTAGTGATTTGTTTCTCCTAACGAATCTGAATTTTATTCGAAAGGTTTACAAGACATTTTTACTATAATTTAAAAAACCCAGCATTACAGGGAGCTGTACTAATTGTGATGTTTTATCAGTATTCATTTAACCTCTAGATTTTTAATGAAGGCAGCAAAAACAACTATTTTCTGATGATACAGAATTTCTTATTTCTTGAAGCGTTTCTGTGGTTGACCACTTCTTCATTAGTTACCTGCAGCATGGCACCTTCCTGCCAAAGAAAAAAAAAGTGTATCTGAAGATGTTTATCACATATGTCTAAACCAAATTACCAATAGGGGAACTTCAGCCATTTTTTTTTTTTTTTTAAAAAAAGGTATAAGCAGTTCACTGGTGTGTCTAACCCAAAAGGAACAGGACATTTGTTAGCTGAGTCCATGTTCTTCAGTGGGTAGCCTTATTTAAAGGCAACGGAACTTTGAAAGTAGGGCATTTTTTGGTTGCCTTTTTTGATAGGCTTCGTTGATTTTTATTTTAAAACCAAATCTAGTAGAGTATGCCACCCTTACTCTGAATAACTCATTCATTACTTAATGAATTTTCATTAATTTGAGGTGCAAACATTCAATGCAGTAAGAGTAAGGCTGACTGAATTTGGCACTAAGGTTTGTTAGCTGCAAGAACTATAAAAAATGGTGGAAACCTCAACATTCTAGCCAATTTCCAATTTACATAAACACATTGTACACTAAAGAAATACCACCTGCAGTTTCATTTGAAGTTTTGTTTTCACTTCCCCTCCTAAAGAACTGCTTATGCAGTTGTTAAAAGAATGGACGACACATTCCTTCACAGAGGCAGATGTATTCTGTGGTGCAATTTTTTTTCCTTACACGTAAACAGTCTACAGTTACTTGGGAACCTTCAGGATGAAACGTGTTATATAAAATAGATTACAGCAGACAAGACACATAACAACACAGTTCATTTTCAACAGCACAGAACTACCTTCATTGCATTACCTTGCAACCATCATAATGCATAGACTCCCAAGAAAAAAGAAAATGTTGCAGGATGCAAAAATAAAGTTGTATGATTTAATTAACTTGTGACCTACCATTTTAACTACCAACACCAGGGATGGAACCCTTGCAAAGCTTTACTAATGGACACTTGCAGGTCTCATTTGTTCAACTGTAGCAGTGTACAGTGGCAGCAGTCTATGCTTGTCCAGGGTTCATATCATAGCTAGATTCCAGTAGGAAAAAAATATGTTAAGTAGCTGAAATTAACAGAAATTTGTTTGTAAAAAATTTAATACAAGAAAACAGGATTCACAAATTTCTTTTCAATTTGTAATTGTTAACTCAATTAATTGCTATGTTAAACTACATAACGATAATCACTATACTGAAAGAATACTGTCAGACAATATTAAATTTGGTTTTGATACATTAAGAAAGGAAAAGTAAATAAGATCTTACCTAAAGAAGTTTAACTGAAGCTTAGAACTATTTTGCTCTACACCCTCAGCCTTCGTTGGCATCCTTATTAATCAACTACCGTAGTTAAAGCTTTGCAGAAATACAGCGCAGCTTTTTAAGACTGGCTGACCTTAGTGACGTTTTCAAGAGTTCTCTTGTACTAGACCTGTGTCCCTGGAAGAGTACCTTGCTGGGGTTATTTCCTTCCCTTGCCATTGAAGAAGCAGCATCTAAAAAATCTAAAAAGGTGTTTCTCCTTGCAGAGATACCCCTTAAGTTACCTAGATATTTTACACCTGATCATTTACAGACAACATACTTTTTCTGATCAGCATTTAATTTACACGTACAACAATAGCTTTATATTATTTGTGGGACCTTATACTACCCACTCCTTGCCTTATTTTACAGTATTAAAAAAAAAATCTAAAATTACACAATATTTCCTTTAGAATTATTTTATTAAAATCATAAATGTACAACAGCTTCTTAACTCTACACACGCACTTAAATTTTTAAAAGGAAAACGTTATGTCTTATTACACCATGATCCTGGCTAAAAGCTTTTCAAAACTTTGAGAAAAATCTTAAAAAAGGTTTCACATGTCACCTGAAACTTACAAATTTAACATTATCAAAGGAATGCTTCTACACTTACAAAGACCACTAGAAAGAAACAACAATTAAAAAGCTAAGAAACTGTCTCAAAGGCATTTTTACAATCCTTCCTCCACGGTAAGGTAATGTTATTAAATAATCCAAATCCATTCACAAAATGGCTCTCTGCATCTGCTCTGGTGTCTTCTGCCATACCACTGCATATTTATGCATGACTGAGATAAGTGTTTCCTTAACATTGTTATTTCGATAACCTGAAGCTGTTCTGTTACCTCTGGGCTCTCATCCTCTCCTATTTATACAGTGAAGCCTGTTTCAACAGAAGTAAAGAGTAAAAAAATAGGTTATGAAATTATTCATCTAACCATTTTTTAAAGGAAAGACAATATCCTAAAAAGCTTTAAACTCCTGCAGCTACTCTCAAGAATCACTGCATTTTTAACACTTATAAACATACTTACCCATGGCATGCTTGAAGAAACTCAGTAACGGCTCCTCCCTCCATATCCACCACTTCCTCCACTGCCCCCTGGACCATAGTTTCCTGCAATTGCAGAACAAGACAGAGAGTTCCATCAGTATGGAATGCTTTTGACATAAGCAATCAATCAAAGCTTGACTGAATGAACATTAACATCTACTTTACTTCCAGAAACAGCATATACAACAAAGACTTTAACTTTCACTGTCTTACACTAACTAACCTCCAAAGACTTCCCCAGGAAGGAACTACAGCCTGAAATCTTAGAAGATTCAACAGTGTTATATGTAATTTGACACAGTCCTCTCTTGAGCCTGTGAGGGCTGACTCTGTTTTCATGCTAAACCTTACAAGGAAGGGCCTTCCTTATGTTTCAGTTCCATTTCACAAGCTTTACATGACATATTAAACAACATTTAGGCAACAAAAACCAGAAGTGTCAGGAAAAAAATGACACAAGAAGAGGAAAGAAAAAAGAAATCCCAACAAGTCTGGTAGTGATTAACTACACTTTCTACAAAGTGTAACAACTAAAATCTTTGCAGATTGGAAAATGCAAAACGTTGTAGATCAAGTTTGTATATTTTATCCCTGAGACAAGCTTTGCAGTTTTAAGATGGGAAATGGTAGCCAACTTGCATAAAGAACATGGGCGCTTGCAGTCCATATACTGCAAAAGTTACCCAATTTCTACGCGTCAATCTTGGAATTATACAGAACTGCCTGGGTTGGAAGGGATCTTTCATCTTGTTCCAAGCCCTTTGTCACAGGCAGGGGTATCTTTCACTAGACCAGGTTGCTCAAAGCCCCATCCAACCTTGCTCTGAACACTGCCAGGGATGGGCCAAGCATAACTTCTCTGGGTAGCCTGTTCCAGTGCCCCACCACCCTCACAGTAAAAGTTATTTTCCTAAAATCTAATCCCAGTATACCCTCTCTTTAGTTCAAAACATGTTCTATCTTCCCTTCTACTTCTCCAAAGGACTAAAAGCCCATCCACTCTGGCTACAAGGAAAGTCAGGACATAAATAATACCTCCACCATATGGTCCCCCCATGTTTCTACTGCCACCAAAATTTCCACTCTTCATCGGACCATAATTTGAAGGTTGTTGGTTGTAGTTTCCAAAGTCATTATAGTTTCCACTTCCATAATTGCCTGCATTATCAATACAAAAGAAATACCTAGATGAGCTAAAACGTATACAACACTAAGTTACCTCATTATTAGAATTTTTAATAAAGTAAGAAATTACACATGTATTCCAGCAGGGCATGCAACAGTGTTTTCATTCTATGTCATACTACTTGGAAAACAACAGTTTCCTTGCGTAACATTTATAAATACCCCTCCCCCCTAATTTCAAACGATTTGAACTAATTTAAACTTAAATGTTTGGATGTTTCAAGCCTAAACATTACCTCCTCCATAGTTGTCATAACCACCTCCATAGCCCCCACCCTGGTTGCCATATCCAGGTCCTCCTCCACCATATCCTCCTCTTCCTCCTCCGTAACCAGGACTGCCACCGAAGTTGCCACCTGTGATAACACAATCCTTTAAAATAAACTTTTCAGTCTAAGAGACACTAATTATACAGAAACAAAGGATAGTCTTGCATTTGGAAGTCTACAGGGGGGTAAAAATGCAGTTTTGGAAAGAAATTTCTATGAACAGTACTTTTAAAGGCACATACCAACTACCACTATAACCAGATCATGATCAAACCCCACAAGACAGACTGCCTAAAAGCCTCACTGATAGGTGTAATTAAAACCTTTGTTTGTCAGGAAATTTAAGGCACACTCTACAGAAAAGGACATGGTTGTCCATGAAATAAGCATGTAATTTGCCATATAAAAAAGTTTAACATGAGCCAACAACCATGTATGCTTCTTAAAGCCAACAAAATGGCTTAGGCAATTAATATGTATTTTATACAAACTTTAAGTAAATATAAAGTGTTTCTGAATGAGAGAAAAACAAATCATCACAGTAGTAAACTAACCTCCAGGTCCTCCGCCATATCCATTATACCCATCACCAAATCCACGGCCACTTCCATATCCATCTATTGGGAGAAAAGAACCCCAAATATTTGAATCTACCTGTACCAAACTAGTTAAATTCTCAAACCCCTAAGACCTTAAGAACCTCATCTCAGAAATTAAGGACATGTACACTTGACTTCAATACACATACACCCAATCAATGCTCAGTTAATTTCTCCTTTTCTTGTGTTTGTACAATATCCAGTTTTAAAAGGTCAGGCGACTGCTGCATAGAATCAGACAAGTCTCTGAATTCCTTAACAAACAAGATGATTAAGTTTAGTTTACTTCTGGCTTTTAAAGAAGCTTACCCAAAACTTCATTTGCAAATTATTTTTCCCAAAAAATGTCTAACTGCTACAACTGCATTGTATTAAACAGCACAGAAAAGTTACCCAGAACCAGAAAGACAGTATTAGTAAGGTAAAAAAAAAATAAATGCTACAAACATGCCTGTCTTACCGGCTCCCCCTCTGAAATTGCTGCCAGGTCCTGGACCAAAGTTGCCACCACCTCCACGAGCATCACCAAAACCGAAGTTCCCTGTAATAGTTTAACATTTGTAAGGAGTGAGGTCATGGAAAGTGAAGATAAAAATCAACCACAAACCACTAACCATTACTTGTACATACCTCCTCTCCCACTCCTAGAATTCTGAACCTCCTGCATTTCCTGTCTAGAGAGAGCTTTCCTTACTTCTGCGTTATGGCCATTGATGGTGTGGTACTTCTGCACTGTAACCATATCAAGTAAGATACTATCAGCACATAAGTACTGATCTGGCAGCTACTAAGAGCATCAAACTTCCAATCCATACACACTCTGAATCATTTCCAAGAACACAAAACACCATACAATTTTGAAACAAAGACAGCAGTACTTATTTGAAATGTTCCCACACAATTCACCAAAACCACGATGTAGCACATATACATACATAACTTACACCATATAATAACATATATCATAACATAACCATTATCTCTTTAAGTTTAGCTTTACACAATTAACAAGACTGCAAGGATTAATACTACTAAATGAAAGAGCAAAAATGAAGCTTACTTACATACAATTTTATCCACAGGATCATGGTCATCAAATGTAACAAATCCAAACCCCCTCTTTTTACCAGACTGTCTATCAGTAATGATTTCAATAGTGTCAATTTTCCCATATTCTTCAAAGTAGTCACGAAGGTGGTGCTCTTCAGTGTCCTCTTTAATACCACCAACGAATAGTTTTTTCACAGTAACATGAGCACCAGGTTTTCCAGATTCCTGTTAAAAGAACTCTTTAAATTATCATAAAGAAAAACAATTTTACAAATCACTGCTTTGCCAGAATTGCAGGAATAGAATACTGATAAACTAGGATTTTTTAAGCACTGAGGTACAGCTCTCTTACTAAATGTCCCTGGCAACCTTGTTTGGGAAGCAACACAGAGTCACTTGGAGGTTTTTCCTCCCCCTTTAAAAAAGCCTTAAAAACACTGAAAAATATACAGATCAACTATTTGGAAGTATTTAATAACTTAAGCTAGAGCATGATTTTTGTAACTAAAACAAAGATTAGCTTCCTCTGCCCAATTCCCCAACAGCAGTGAACCGTTTCCAATCACATAAATATCCTTCAACCTCTGCAAATTAACAACTGTGCATTTTAACCATTACTTAAAATACGAAGGCAACTCTAAATACTCATGAGTTATTTCTGCACTTAAAGCATGATAACCAGGCTGTTGCACTAAGAATGACTTATTCCTAAAGCTTAGCAGTAGCTTTTTATGTATAAGCTCTATGCACATACGCTGCTGTAATTACCTTTTTCCAAATGCTAACCAACCTTGCATTCTGCAGGGAATGGAAAGAAAACTGGAACAGCTAACAGGGGTACCAGTGATTACAAATTCCATTTCCCCATACCCTCGGGAGAGCTCATTTAATTCCACTTCATTAGTCCAAATATGCTAAACACCTGAGTCCAACGTGGTAAACAGAACTTGCCTTATAATCCACACTTGCTCCCCAAGTATCTCTGTGCCACCATAACCTGGCTTACAGGTTCACTGCATTCCCGTGAACACATCTGATTTGTGCCCTGAATTTGAAAATCAAGTATGCCTGGGGCTAAAACCAGCACAGTCCAAAGATGATTCTGTACATTACCACCAGAAACAAAGTTTCCCTACTACATTTTCTATTTTTAGTCACTGACTATATACCTTTTAGAAATATCCCAAAAGGATCTTGGAATAATCAAAAAGGACTGACAGGACTTTATTAATTTGAGGTTTAGTAAGAGTTCCATAATTACAGGTACTCAATATGTTTTTGCTAACACTATCTTCAGACTGAGATGAATCCCTTGTAGACATGACTAGTGCAACCAGAGTACCTTCACAATTCACTGTAATTACAGACATTTATGTAATTGCATCAATTAACAGACCATAAGTGTGGGAAATAATGCCCCAACTATAGCCTTTCAGTTAGAGCATTTAAACCACAACAATTTCAGACAAGAAAAAAGCCTAAGAGTCGGTCAAAACCAAAAATCTTTTTTTCAAATCAGGTAAAGTATCTGCTTTCGAAGCCATACTTACCTCTCTAGCCACAGCTCTCTTAGGCTCAACCACCCTTCCATCAATTGTGTGAGGTCTTGCAGCCATAGCTGCATCAACTTCAGCCATGGAAGAGAATGTTACAAAACCAAACCCCCTTGATCTTTTGCTTGCAGGATCCCTCATTACCTAAAACCAATAAACACATTTAAACCTTTTATACCTGTCTCGCATTAAGCTTTACACTAACAGTATTTGGAGAAAGTGTGTAAACCTAATTTAGATTTTCATTATTTAATTTCGAAATACAGTGATAATAAAGTAGCAGGCTCTGCTGATTTAATACATCACAGAAATTCAAATGACTGTTGCCCTCCAAAACTCCACCTGTTAACTCAGAAATGCTGCTAGATCAGTGAAGTACTTCTATATTTATGTTTGTTTTCTAAAAACAAAAACACAACAAAACACATAATTTTTTTAAGCTTTCTGAAGACCACAAACTTTACATCTGTGTTATGAAATAAGTATTTAATACTCTCAAAACAAATTTTGTGGAAGAACTTCTGCAAGAGCCACTGTCCCTGGTGGTATTTGGAAGACATACAGACTGGTGCTTATGGACATGGTTTAGTGGTGGACTTGGCAGTGCTGGGTTAACAGTAGATGATGTTAAGCGTTTCTTCCAACCTAAATGCCTCTATGAAAACATCACAGAGAAAGACATCAACCTCTTCCAGCTTTATCACGGCTGCTTACTATAAATAATACCAGCTTTCTGCCAAATGCTACCAAACACACAGATGTAATTGTGCTCTGTGTGAGCACTTCAGCCAATGACACCAGTGTTAAACTGCTGGAATCAGTGGTTAGATAGCCTGGGAGGACTTTACAGGAAACAGATTGTAAATGTTCACTAACTCTATCAGAGTTTGCAAGGGAAAAATCTATGCATTGCTTCCACAGACTGATCTATGTATAAACCAAACTAGACATTTAAGAAAATCTAATATTCCATATTCTCATTAAGCTATCCAGAAAACAAACTCCCTGTTTAAAATTCCTAAACCATTGTTATGTATTAGTATGCCAAACTTACCACACAGTCTGTAAGCTTTCCCCATTGCTCATAGTAACTCCTCAAGCTTTCCTCTGTGGTTTCAAAGCTTAAGCCACCAATAAACAGTTTGCGGAACTGCTCCTTTTCCCTCTGCCACAGAAAAGAAAATTACATTAATATAATTAAAAACACCTCCCTTTCATCAACAAATTAGACACTAAAATTTTCATAAGCGTCAAAAACTTTCAGTCAAGTCTTATTTCCAAAATCAAGATTGACTCTTCTAAATGCTCTACCCCATTAAAGAAAATAAGCAGTTTATGCAATTTTACAGGTCCACTTTTACCATACAGATTTTATTAATGTGCTTATTCCTGTCTCTCCCTTCAAATACCAAAAACAAGGGAGCACACTCAAAAGACTTCCAGAACATTCCTCTCAAAGACTTCTACGAGATGCTTTTTAAAGAAAAGGAACATAAAAACAAACCTGGAAGTTCTCACTACAGAAAACAACATTGTTCACACTCTCCAATTCTATTCCAGCTGACATTTATTTTTAAAAAACCATTCCAGCTCAAATTCCTGTACATGAACACTACTATGCTATTTACCCAAGGCAGTAAAGGGAAAAATTAGTACAACTAAAGATGTTCTATAATAGGTCAATAATTGATATTTTCTCCACAATTATTAAAATAAATGAGTCAGAGCATTTGTAAAATTGATCTGGGATCTTGCACCACCAGAATTAGCAGCAAACCTCTATGCCTCAACAGCAACAGTATCAAAACAACTCCCTTTAAAACAGAAATGGGAATAATACACAATTGTATGCAGTAACATAAATCGTGTTTCCAATTAGACTTTATTACCTTAGAGAGAAATCACCAATGCATTTGTTCAGCAAAAATCTCTGCTGCAATGACAAGGACATCACAAAAAAAACTCCGAAAAACCCAACACAAAAGGACCAGTAATACTGTATTACATTTATTCTTTCGTATGTAGTGGTATACCAAAGCAGGAAGGACAACCTTCCAACATCTATCAGTTCAAAACACTTTTATAGTAGCTTTTTACCCCAAGCACACATTGTAATTGGCATTTTCTACACACAGCAGTATCACTATCTCATACCTTTTACAATTTCATGTCAAGCAATTTAAAAATGCACTAAAAAGTTGTCCCCTTTTCATAGAATTTTTGATTTCTGAATGTTGTTTTAAAGATAACTGTCTTGCTAAGGACAAGAGAATTCAAATGTAATGATTTTAGCTTTATACTGACAAGTAACTTTAAGACTCAAGAAAATCTGCCTGGGTGTTTTGGTTTCCTTTAGGGGGTAGTTGTTTTTTTAAAAACCGAAACAAGGCACAGATAGTTGTAACTGGAAAACACAACATGGCCAACTATGTAATGGACATTAAGGTAACTGGATAAGAGGAAACTAGAGAACAATGAGACTTAAAAACAAGCTAAATACTTCAGCACATGTATGCTTTTAGAAGTATTAAGCCAACCTGCATGTAGACCAACATGTTTTCTAAGGTTGTCCAAGCCAGGCCTGGATCTAGGAATTTGAGAATCGTCAGTTTAAATGTCTCTTGCAAACACTTGGAATCTGCTGTTGGATCTAATCTTTTTTCTTCTAGGAACACAGACAAAGCTAATACTGATGGCCCCCTTGTAGAGGCAGGCAAAATGACACACAAGAGTTTAAAAGAAGCAAATCCATGTTTTATATCGTGTCATTTCCTTTCACTTTATCTTATAAAAGGAATAAAAGAAAGAATGCTGCATACCAAATCTGGGTTAAAAAACCCCATATGCTGCATATTATACTACCATTTTTTTAATCTGAGTAAGCTAGCAAAAAAACTTTTTAAGCAATAATACTGCCAAAAATCCTCCCTTGAAATTACTTCAGTTCTGCTGCCTAAAAACTAGGGATCACAGGGTTGCCGTTTCATAGGTCCATAAAAGACATTTTTCCCTATGTAATCAATTGTCGTGCATTTAATAATACACATTATTATAAAAATATGAAAATCAAGCACGTTTAGTAGGCAGCTAGGCTTTTTCCAGTAAGTGTTAGATTCACATTTGAAAACAGTTATAAACATGTAAATTAAATGCAAGGAAAGAATGGAACCTATCAGCTGTAACAATGACAGAATATACCACACATTACTAACAAACAGCATAGTAACACATTTTACAGACATATTATCATACCCCTACCCAGAACAACATCTAAGCACCATGTGTTAGGACGCACCAATAACAAAATTTATTACCAGTACTTTAATGAAAATGACTGTGCAAAACCAGCATAAACATGCTGCTCCACTAACACACACACAAGCTCTGAGTGTGGAGAATCTATTCGTTTAAAGTGCTGTCAGTTTCAAGCAGCTCTGGTTAACTTAACATTAACCTCCCAGCAGGGTCCAGAGAGCTCTAACTGTATAAAGCTTATGCTGAAGGTGTAAAACGTACAGTGATTATCATCACTCCCGTCCCTCTTAAAATCCTGAGGGAAATCCTCATTTGGTAAAACCACACCGACACTCCACGCCTATCAAGGCCCACAAAATAAAAACTGGAGGAAACACCTCCTTGAAGATTTCCACAGTACACCACTGTGGCAGGAACGGAGTGCGAGAGAAAATCTTAGCAACCCCTGTAGAATCTTCATTCGCGTGTATTTTAAGCTGTCCGTCACAGGCTTCAAGAAACACTTGAAAGGACTAGAAAACGCACAGCCCTTAGAAGAAAATCAATCACCGGAGCAAGGAAACGTGATATAGCGATAACGTGCGCCCAGACAATCCACGCTAACCGCAGAATAACTAACTACGGTAACAAAATTGTTTGACGGAGTCAAGCGAGAGGGGAACCCCAAACTCCGGAGCTCCGCAATTCCTCCGGCGCGGCTCCCCGCCTGAGGCGGGCGGGACGTGGCGGCCGTGCCGGCTCCGCCATGTGGTGGCAGCGGGAACACCGCGGCCCCGAGCCGGGCGGGGAAAATGGCGCCCGGGAGCAGCCGCCGCTTCCAGGGACAGGGCTGCAAAGCGCTTCCAACGTGCACCTACACACCCGGCACCAGGAAGACCTCTCCGGCGCTCCTTCCCGCCCCCGAGGATACCGGACGACTACAGCCGCCCCCTCCGCCTCGCCCGCTCTCCCGGAGCGATCCCCACAGCCCCTGGCAGCCGCGATCCTCGGCCAGGCCGCCATTTTACCCCTCCCCCTCGGCACCGCCATTACCCGCTGCACCGCCCCGGCCGCTCCGCACCTCGCGAGGCCACAGTAGCCCCCGGCCGGCCCGCCCACCGACCGAGCCCCGGAGTCCCGCGTCCCCCTCAGGGGCAGCGCGGCTGAAGGCCACGACCAGCGCTTAAGAATGCGCTGTGCACCACGGCGGTCACCGCAGCTTCCGCCGCCTCACCCGGCTGCGCATCAGCCCCAGCCGCCGCTTCCAGAACCTTCCTCCGCGCACCCAGCGCCCGGCCCGCAGTGCGACCCGGCGGCGGCACCAAACACCCGCGCGGACAAAGGCTCAACCCTGCTCTTAATGCCCAGCCCCGGAAAAATTCACTTCTCCCGCAAAAGCAAATGCGCCTCCCTCCTTAAAAGCAAGCGCCGAATCCTTCCTTCCTACGTACCATGTTCTTCATGGTTTACGTATTCCTGCTCGAGAGTACCGTACAACCGGTCGGTAATGGCTGCCTGAACTGTTACGTAATTTGAAATTCAGCTCCGCGTAGAGCTAGCGCCCTCCTTCTCCAGCCCGGGCTCGCTTCCGATGTTATGGATTAATTAATTAAAAAAAATTAAAAAGCTAGAATCTGGAGCTTAAACGTCTCCAAAGGGGCAGCAGTTCTGTATAACGCCCCTACGTGTTTTTATCGCGTAATGAAAAGTCATCGACTCCGTTAGTAATGGCCGTCTCCGGAATGAGCCGAAGAAGCCGTCGTCGTAGAGCTTATGCGCTTCGACAGCCGCCGGAAAGAGCCGAACGGGGAACGGAAACCCCTTCGGCTCACTTCGGCTATTTCCGGAATCTGCCGAAGCAAAAACGAATGGCGCTCGGCAACTTCCGGACAGAGAGACGCAGCCAGTTATCGACTGCCCTGGCCCGCTCGGCAATTTCCGACAACGGAAAGGCTCGCAAGAGCTGCCCGAGCGGAGCCGAAGCGGCCCCGAGCCGCTGGCACCGTGTCACGGCTGGGTTTTGGTGTTTTTTTTTAATTTTATATTTCCGGAAATTGCCGAGTGGACCCGAAGGCTCAAACCCGGCGTTATAATTAGCCGGGGGCGGCCCCATATTGCCCCTCCATACGCGTTGTACTGGCAGGGAGCGGGCGAGCGCACCGTACCCCCGAAACATCGCCCTGGCCCCTGCCCCTTCCCCTCCGCCCGGGCAGGAGGAAGTGCGAGCTGCACAGATTGTGGCACCGGCGCCGACACATCGCGGGGCTCCGGCGGAGAGAGGCGGACTTCGCCGCAGCCCGCGCCGCTCAACCCCGCACCGCCGGCATCGGGTACACCGCCTGCTCCGGCGCTCTGCTCTCGTCCCCTCCTTCATCTCATCCCATCCCCTCCCTCCCTCTCTCTCTGGCGGCCCCGCACCCACCACGACAGAGGGTGAGTGCTGCCGCCCCGCGCGCGAGGGAAATGGCGCTGGAGCGGCTCCTTTCTTCCCGCCCCCTCTGCTCCCCCTCCCCCTCAGCTCCACCGCGGATCCACCCGCGGCTCCCCGCCCGCAGAGAAGCCTCCCCAGCTGGGTCCCCGAGCCTTTTTTCTACTCAAAGAGTTTTGGAGCCCCTACAGCCCCACTGCTTTCCGAGCCCGCTTCCCTACCCCCGCCCCTCGCTTAGGGCCGGGCCTCCTCACCGCAACGCGGGAAATGGCCGCGCTCTACACGGGCCTCTCCAGATTAGCGAGGATCTCGCTCCGCGGCGGGCGCGGCTCCAGCCCGGCCCGGCCCGGTGCGGCGCGGACTACCAGCGGCGGCCATCATGGCGGCCGGGGTCCGCAGGCCCGCTCTGCTCCCCCCACCTCACCCAGTCGCTTTCCCTGTCGCCGCGAGGCATCTTCCTTCTTTTGGACGCCTGGCGCGGTCCTGCGCTCGCCCCGCGTTGGAGAGACGTCTTGGCCCCCCTCCTGTGCCGGCGGCGACGACGGTCGGAGGTTGTAGCGGCTCGCGCGTAGGCGGTGGCGGCGTCGTGCGCTCTGCCCCGTCACAGCCGCCGGCGCGCAGTGCTCGCCCAGCCCAGCCCAGCCCAGCCCCGCCAGCCGCCGCCGCGCTGCTCCCCGCCCTCCCTCCTTCCCTCCCTGCCCCCACCCGCTGCCTCAGCCCCCCGCGGATGTCGCTGTTGCTGCCGCCGCCGCTCAGTGCGCGCAGGGCGGGAGCGAGGAGGAGACGGGAGACCCAAGCGGCTGGGCACCATTGAAGTCTGTATCCTTCTCTCTCTCTCTCTCTCTCTCCCCCTATTTTCTCTCGCTGCAGCCGCCTCCTTCCACCCCACCCGCTCCCGAGTCCTCTTCCCTGATTCCTCTTCCCTCTACGGCTTGCTGCGGGCCGTCGCGGGGAGATGCGGAGCGCAGCCCACCCCCTTCCCCCCCCACCCCCGCTTCCTTGGCAGTGGGGGGTGGCGGGCGGAGCGGGCCTGCCGGGGGGTCGCGGCCCCGGCACCCGCACGGCGAGGGAGAGAGAGAAGGAGGGAGGAAGGGAGGGAGGCCCCCGGAGCCGCGGGCGCTGCCGCCGCGGGGAAGGAGGGCAGCGCCGGGGGCGGGGGCAGCGACACCAGCGCGGCAGACAAAGCCGGCCCGCGGCCGTCCCTGCCGGGCCCGGGAGAAACGTGGCGGGGCGGGGGCAAGGGGACAGCGTGGAAGGGGTCCCAGGGGCGGGAGCGGGAGCGGCCCGGTGTCCCCTCTCACGGCCCCGTTTCCTCGCCCGGGGCGGCCCCGCCGGCCTCATGTTCGCCCGCCACAGGCCCGAGGTGCAGCCGCCCCCAGCAGGCCTCCGCAGGGCTGCCTGTTTTCTGACGGAGGATTTGTTACTGGTTTTGTTAGGGCTTTTTCCCCTTTCTCCTGCCTTTCAAGAGCGGGGACACAAGGCAAGACTCTTCGCGCTGGGCCCCTGGCCCCTGCTCTTCTCCCACCTTGCCTACCCCACCGCCTGTGTTGCTGCCAAAATCCACCTCCCCTGTCAAGGGAGGATTGGGCGGGATTACTTAGTTCGGGAGGTATTCTGGCCTTGAAGGACTTTTCTGTTTTGCCTTGCCCAGGCAAATTAGCTCGCAGCGGGTGGGGACAATACATGCCTAAGGATCTGGTCGGTATGAGAAATGACATGGAAAAGGGGATGAATGCGTTCAACATAAATTGCATAGTTTAAATATGTATTGTGTATGGCTTAGCTGAGTTAATATTGCTCTAGGACCTGAACTCTTGAAAACGTGAGAATTAGAAGGCAACGTTATAGTTGCATTAAGATAAATACTTGCTGTTTATAAGGATTTGCTACCATGTAAGAGTAATGGGTGATTCATTACACCACAGATATGTAGCTGTTCCCCACCAGATTCGCAGTTAATATACCTTAGGTATATCTCCAACTGCTGGAATCTGAACTCCTGTTCTGTTGGGTTTAAGGAAATAAGCATCCCTGATGGTCCTCCCCCTTTTCCCTAGAAACATCTCTAAGCCCTTGAAGGCCTTGGGAAAAATCTTTTTTAACCCTATCTACCACCTTGTCAGTATAATTTGTCCTGGTAGTGTAATGGTGCGTTACTGCGTTATGCCAGACAAAGTAGTAACCTACTTCTTGTTCTGGATTTAATCTGTATAAGAAATGTTATATGCAGCGAATACATGGGGGTTGGAACAAGGACCATGTTTGTCTTGGGATGCCTTTCTTTGAGTTATGCAAACTTCCTTTTAATTGTCATGCATTTTTCTAGTAAAAGCTCTGCAAGTCTGCAATAAAAATGGCCTCCAATAAAACTACGTTGGTAAGTTCATGCACACCTAAAGTATATAAGGATTTAATCAACATATTTTTCTTCAAACCTATAACTTGGCATCTCCATTTAAAAGATACATCCACATCTCCCCTCCCCAGCATTATTCTGACCAAAATTTCAGATCCAGAAAGTAAGGCTACTAGAAAGGACGTTGGCTTTAACAAATATGCCACTTCTAAAGAGACTTGTTGGGAAAAAAGTATGAAAGGATTCTGTACTATTTCATTTGTCCTACAGTAGAAATAATAAGGATTTTTTTTGGTTCCTTTCAGCACACCATGTAATTCATCATACATGTAAAAAATAAAATTGGAATCATGTACTGATTTAATTTCTCCCAGTGTATTTGGAGAAAACTAATTGCCTGAGAAAAGACAGTCTTTACAGATGAAAAGTAACATTATTGAGAAATTATGTGGCATAGTTAAGATGCCTTTTGAAATGATTTTTAACAAATAACAGTTTCTTTGAATTTCATAGGAGCAGAGATTATCAGATGTCAACCCTTCCTGGACCATTTTAATGATGCATTCATGGATCTCAAGTCCTGTAAAGCTTTGCTTGACATTAAAATATGGACTTCTAAGGGCAGTTGGTTGCTGGTTACCATTCAACTAATAATGATACATAGTTTTGTGAAAAACAACTGAAAAAGTATAGTGTGAGATACGTCTGAGTTTGAGGTGGGGAAGTAAGCAAAAAACATACATGCACAATTTAAAGTTTGGATAGCAGAACAACTGGTTTATAACATGCTCAAAATTTAATTGTTTTATTTTTAAAATATTAAAGAACTTTAAATTTAAATTTAATTTTTAAATTTCAATAAATTTAAGAACATTAAATTTAAATTTAATGTTCTTAAATTTATTGAAATGATTACTAGTTCACTTAGCTCAAGATGTATTAAATACTAGTATTAACCCCTTGCTTAGAGGTGCAATGGGGTGCTTTCTCTATGTTGTATGATAACCTATTTTAAAAGATTTCACCAAGGTGAATGTATCAGCTTTCTGTTTATTATTGATTGACCACTTATCCCTAATTTGAGGAAGAGAAGGAGTTAGCCAGCCTGGGGAGAGGGTGCCTCAGAGAGAGGAAACATTTTTTGAATGCAGAATTTTTAATCTTTTGATGTTGTTAAGAATTTGCTGCACAAGTCAAGAAAATCAGTTATGGTTCCCATGGGAACCATAACTAATTCTGCTTCGTTATGTATTTGCATGCAAAACCTAAATGTATTAGGGGATAGGGTAGCCCTAGAGCTGTAATTCTGATTTTTTTTTTACCTTTTGTATGTTAAAACCCTACACCACAGTGTCACATCAGTGTTTTAACCTTGCCCCTAAAAGAAAGAGTGGTTGTCCATAGCTCTGCATCTGTCACAAGTGACTTCTGAATGCAGAAAGGGAAACAAGCCATAGACAAGCCTTCAGTGTCAAATGCCCAAGTTACAGCTTATAACATGCAACCCTAGAGACGGGAAATTCAGGGGCCTAGTGGACGTTTAGTACCCTTTAACTTCAGTCAGTATCACATTCGCTCGTGGGCTGAGATTTGCATGGGCATGTATAATCTCAGAATGTACAGCTTTTTTAACATGTTCAGTATTTCTGCAGGCTCTGCAATCAAGTATTATTTTAATAGGTTCAAGAGTTTGGAGAGCAGTGCTGATGCATGAGACCCAATTAAATCTTTAATATTTAAAAGAAAAGCAGCATAGTCTTGATTTTGTTATTTCTTACTGGACTTCAAGAAAAAAATACAGACCCCCATGACATTAATTTTCTTCTGTGGAAGAGACTTAAGATACTTAAGTCTTAGAAAGTAAAAAAAAAAATTGTTGCTTTGATACAGAAATCCAAAACATTGATCTTTAAGTGACAAGAATTAGTGAAGCCGAAAAGAGTACCAGAAAACAATCTTCCATTGAATCAAAGAATTTTAGTCCAACGGAGAATACAGATGGAGATGTTCCCCACTTGTAGCCTGCTTGCCTCATCACCAGTAATTATAATGTTATTACTATGGTATAGTGAGTCTGTCTTTTACTGTGTTGTTGTTTTTCCCTCTGCTTCTTTTGTTTCTTTTCCTCATCTCTACCCCTTTCTCTTTTTCACATTTCCATTTCTTGAAAGAAGCTGCCTTCATAGAAGCATTGGACGTCTTCATGTTTTATTTCCCTTCAGTTTCAGTCTTGCATTCTTTTTCCTGTGGAGGCAAAAAAAAAAAAAGCCAGTGTGCTTAAGTTGACACTTTTCAGACATGAATGCTGTGGTCAAAATACACCTGGGAAATGCAGGCAGTTAAACTAATTGGAAATGCATACTCTGTTCTAGATAATCTCTCTTCTATGCTTCCAAATCAAAACAATTGCCGTGTGAGGTATAATCTTTACAGAAACTTGCTGTTTGAATGAGAAACTAGAAACTTTTCCTCCTCTTTGTTTGCACCTTCAATTTATGGGCTGCTAAACCAGAGTAAAGCTATTTTGGGAAGAGAGGGAGGGAGGGAAAAATTAATTATTAAAAATAAGGGGTACAAAGACAGGGCTTTGGCAAGAGAATCATCTTCAAATCTTCAGTTTACAAAAACGAGACAGTTTTTTTGTGTCTAACATACTTTTTTTTTACCTTTCACCACATCAAGATAAAATTCTACAAAGCCTAAAAAAAAAAGAAAATTTCAAAATTGCAATATTCTCAAACTAACCCACATTAATTATAGAGAGGAATAGAGACAGACCATCAAGCAAATAAAGATGCTTTGTGATTTTTGCTTGTCTGATTTCTATTGTATAGAAAGTGCTTTAGTGAGGAATTAGTTTTGTCCTCTTTGATTTAGGGTGCTGCATGACTGTATGTTTTAAAAGCTTGAAAGTTTATGGCTGCAGCTTTAACCATTTCCTTATAAGGTACAGTCCAAAATGGCAAGCAGAATGATTTTGGTCTGCCAGTCTTCCTGAAATGTGACACAACATGATAGGCTTGTTCCAACCTTTTTGAGAGTACAAACAAGGAAATTCTGAAATGTGTCCTTCTACTATGATTTGATTGTGCCTTATTAAACTGGGAATGCCTTGAGGATGATGTGGATGTAATATTTAAGAACTTAATATTATTTGAAGTATCAAATGTAAACTTGAAAAAAGTTTTTTAGGTTAGCAACATTTCATTTATGTGTTAAGTGCTGTACATAAAGGTCTTAAGTTTATGCACCTTTATGACACATCTTTGTAACAAATTACATAGGTGCATGGCTAAGAACGGGAAGAAACTGCAGTAATGGAACGCTCCTAGCATGTGTCCTGTTCAATAGTTACGGGTTATTGTTGAGTATTTTGCTTATTGTAGCATTGTACCATAAACTCCGCTGCCATCGGTTTCTCCTTGTTTTTTTGGAACAGGTAGTAACCACTTTTTTTTGAGTACCATCCCTTTTCTATTTTATGCATTTTCACAGTTCCCTTATTTCTTTTCTTTATTTCTGCCTTGCCCTCTGCCTTTTCATAGGCATAGAGTTCAATTTTAGAAGCTTCATAATTTTTTGAGCATGTAGCACTGAGAATTATATTTATAAAGGGGAGTATAGTCACTGAGTATGTGGACAAAAATTTTAATCTTTTTAAAAACTGGTGTTGGGTGTCTCATTAAGCAGCTGAAAAAAAAAAACCAAAACATTAACATGTCTTGCTCAGGTTACCTGACCACATGCACTAACGTAAAAGGAGTCTGAGCTTCTGGCTTTAGTGTTAAGCACATGATTCGTTGCTGTTTACTAAGCCAAGTTGGATTTGGCCAGTGAAGTAACCGTATAAAGCAAAAGAATTAACAATGTCATTCTGAATTTCTTTTGTAGCACAAAATGGGAAAGAAACAGAATGGCAAAGGTAAAAAAGTTGAAGAGGCAGAGTCTGAAGAATTTGTTGTGGAGAAGGTCCTGGATAGGCGTGTTCAAAATGGAAAGGTGGAATACTTCTTGAAGTGGAAAGGATTTACAGAGTAAGGCATTACCTTTTTTTTTTTTTCCTTTTTCTGATAGAATGATAAACACAAACCATTTATTTGAAATAACTGTACAGAGAGGAGATTGCGTGATGGGGATCCACTTTAAGGAACCTTGAGGGAAGGACATCCATAAATGCATATTCAGGTGGGACAGTCAAGTCTGAAAATAAAATAGAAGATAATGTAGCTCAGTGTTTCTGTTACCTAAAATAGTCGAGGACTTTAACCAAGTCCTTAGTGATTGTTCTTTTACCACTGTTTTCTGTGAGTATCTCTCAAGGTAAGCTAGAATGACAGTTGTTATATATGTAGTGGAATGAATGTTACTTCTGAGTAAGAAATTATGCAGGATTTAAACTGTAGGCAGCTCTGAAGCAATGAATTCAAAGGAGATAGTTTGCTTATTATTAATTTTTCTGAACTGCTCACAAATTAACTAAATTTGCCTAAGGAATTCTGTGGCATGGTTGCCTTCATTAGGCATACCCAAAAGGAATCTTTTGAGTGTCTTTCCCAGGACTTACATATGTACACGAGAACTTTACAGTGAACTTATAAAGTTGATTGTATAAGAAGAAATGCAGTTGTGCCTCTTCTCTCCTGCCAGTGACACTGCATGGCAGCTTGCTTTACTAGCTGAGAAAAGGCGATGCACCCAACATTTAAGCATAAGTGGTTACGTATGCAGTGACATTGATTGTTGTTGCATACCTCTCGAAATGATTGCATTGCAACATTGTGCTCTTTGCCACCTGAAATGTGTGTAGTGATGAATATATAAATGCAAAACACATGTTTGGTAATTGAGGGTCTGATTTTAACTTGTTATAGTAATGGAAAATAATTTATTAAAAGTTGGTATCCTGCTTGTGCAGTAGCACTGTGGCAGTATTTGTGCATGAGTGCTTCTGGTGAGGTGCTTAGTTGTTGCAGTTGAAAATTCATGGACTTGTTAAACTTTTAGTTAACAAAATGCACGCTCACTGAATCATATACAGTGCCAAGCTCTGCCCACCTTTGTTTCCTCCTGTAGTCAACAGAAGGAGGGAGACAGTTCTAGGTGTAGTTGTGCTCAGTTCTCAGAGACGACTTCAGAGAGTGTTCCTGATATCTGGAAACTTATACTTAGTTATTTGTAACAAGTGTTGTGTACGCCTTGTTTCCCATGAGTGCGTCTCAGTGCTTGTATCATACGGTTTTGTTTGCGTGGACAGTCTTTAGAGGAACCACGTAAGCAAGTCAGTGTAAATGGGCAGATAGGTTTTCAAAGAGTGGGAATTGCTTGTTTTAACTCTCATGATCCCACTGAGAACATAGGAGTTAATAGAGCTGCTTATTGTGCTGTCTTTTATTTAAGAACATTGTTTTTCAACACTATTTGAGCATACTTCTTTTAGTCATCAATTGCAGTACATGAAGGCTACTAAAGATGGCACAATAAACATCCTTAGGGTTAGATAAACATCCTTAGGGTTTAAGAAACCTACCTTATATAATGAGACAAAATTCACTTTATTAAATTAGGGGAGCCATGCAGCTAGTTTTACATAAATGTGTGTATGTTTCAGTGCTGACAACACATGGGAACCTGAAGAGAACTTAGATTGTCCAGAGCTAATTGAAGCTTTTCTGAACTCTCAGAAAGCTGGTAAAGAAAAAACAGACGGTGCCAAAAGAAAATCTTTGTCAGATAGCGAATCTGATGATAGTAAATCAAAGAAAAAGCGTGATTCTGTAAGTATATGTTCATGTGCTAAGCTTATTTTTCCCTACCCCTGTGTCCCCAAAAAAATCTTTGTGACTTTGAGAACGAGACTGAACACTGATTTAAAAGTGTAAAAACTGCAGAGTATCTGGAACTGTGGTTTGAAAAGGGTATACATCATTGTGGTTAATGAGACTGTCCAAATAGTAGGTAAAAGATGATTGAGTGACATGATGATTAAAAGTTCTTGCATTTTCCCATGATGCTTACTGAATAATTGAAAATAAATCTGGTTAAGAGTTATTAATGGTTTCAAGTGATCAGTATGTATTAGAGCAAAAGGTCCAAGATGTTTGGCTTGCATATTTAGCCTATGATTTTGAATAGGTGAGTCGCAAGATGTGAAGACCAGTCAGTTACTTAGATCAGGACCAGACATGATGGTGGAGAGGGAGTAGAAAGGGTGACTGCAGAAAGCCTACCTTTTCTGAAAATGTGGGTTTTTTTCTGCAGAACAAATGAGCGAACGACATTAACACATTTAGCTGCTAAGTACAAAATAATGCACATGTAGTAAGGTGTTCAGTAGTTCACATTTTTGTCTGTAAACTTTTCAGACCAGCAGTTTGAAACTGCTGGTATTGACAGCTATTGTCATGTATAAAGACAGCTCTTAGACATGTGGTTACTGACAAAAGGATTGGAAGGTATCAGAAGGAATAGTTGATGAATAGTACAAAAAGTACTTTCTGTATGGAGTCAGTTATGTGGCTTCATCTGGTACAGGAGTGGCCACTGTCTCTATAAGGGTATTGTGAACGCCTGAAGGAGATAATACAGGAAATAGTTGTGATATTTCTTGTCACCAGTGTGTTCTCAGCCAAGAAGAGTGAGGTGTTCCCCAGGAGTTTCACTGTTTGCTTAAGCCAACCTAAGCCTGTTGTTTTGCTGAAAAGGATGCAGTTTTCCAACTTCCAGGCGTGCGTTTTTGCTTTGCTGCTTTTGTTACTTTTACTGACCATGTTTGTTTCTCTGCTATGATGATTTTAGAACACTTGTTTCATCTACTATGTTTTCAGAAGTAAATGCTGGCAACATGAATGTAAAATTCTTCATTATTACGACCCTAAATGACTTACTTGGCCTGAAGATCGGTCATGAAAAAATCAATGTCCTATTCAGACAATAATATGTAATTATAGATTTGATGCTTTTTTAAGACTGTATTTTTTGTTTTGATACACATGTGTATGTACAAAAATTTATGCATCTAGCACGAAAATTTATGCATCTTAAACTAGATAACTATATTCTAACTTAATAGGTTGATAAACCAAGAGGGTTTGCAAGGGGTCTTGATCCTGAGCGGATAATTGGGGCTACGGATAGCAGTGGAGAGCTTATGTTCCTCATGAAATGGTAAGTCTTAAATCCACAGTTCTTATCCATGTTACGAGAGGGCAGCAGTTGCACTTAGGCTCATAAGACAACTTCATTCCAGGAGTAAGAGAGAGAAGCTTGTGGTCTCCTAATTAGTCTTGTATTCTTAGAAAAGGAAGTCTTCTATACTCAGTTAGTACTTAATCCCTCTTCCTTAAAACCCCAAAATATCTTTCATTTCAGTTAGTTTAGTTTTACAGAAGTAGAAATTTGAAAGCTAATTTCTCATAAAATAAGGGAAAATTGGCATTTGTATGGAAAAAATGGGTCTTGGCAATGTTCTTGCTGAGAGGATGGCAGGCAGGAATACAGCTTTTCATGTTTCAGTAAGCAGAAACCAGCTGCTTCATAGCCAACCATGTAAGCAACCATAGTGCCAGCTATTCTGCATGCAGCAAACTGGAACTGGAGTCAAGTAGTGGAGGAAAGGGAGGTGGAGATGAAGAATAAACAATATGGAGAGGCTTGTCATTATGGGGAAAGTGGTGTGGGGAGTTTGTGTCGTTGGGAGGGTAGGTGACATAGTGTTGATAGAAGGATTTCTTGAGCAGATGGGATACAATTAGTACTTTCCAGCAGTTGAGAAATCAAGAGATTGAATTGACATCTGCTAGGGGTCAGATTTCTTTAAGTGCTGGGATAAGAAGGATAGCTTTCCACAGCCTTTGAGAAGGACATGATTTTCTCAATGGAGTCAAACTGAGTGGTCTCCAGAGACATGATTTGTCATGTGATGTGCCCAGACTGGTGCAAATTAGTGCTTTAGAAGATTGTCTTCATTCTGATTTTCCAAATTCCCTATAAATTTTATGTGAAACTTAGAAGAGTTGCAAAACAAAGATCATGAGTGTTTGAATTTCTATAGTGATAATTGGCAAAATCAGACACAGAAGACAAAAGAATCTTTTTTTTTTTTTGTTTAGTTCCATTGCAGTTGATGAGTTTTTCATAACTGGTCATAGGTAACATGCATAGATACGAGTATGTACGCAAAAAGCTAACTTGTAAAGTCAGCATACACTTTAAAATGGAATCTGAAGCATGTCAGACTGGAAAGTTTGTTTTGTTACCCCAACACAGCATCAAGAATAGCAATGTGAATGCAGGAAGTTACTTGCATAAACAGTAAATATAATTTGGATGTAAGTACCATGTAAGTCTCGCTTTAAAGTTTTGATTAGTCTTTAAAAGACAAAATTAACCATGTTTTACTTATTTCATTATATACTGCAGTATGTAACCATATAACTGGTTCCCTTTGAAAAGTGTTTTCATTTCAAACAGAAAAAATACGGGAAGGGAAGGAAGATGGAGCTATGAAACCTTGTTATTACTTATTAGCATGGAAATTCTTGCTAGCTGTATTGAAAGGTATACTGGAAACCGATTTCTAGCTGATATTCTTTTAAAACTTAAGACTTACCAAGAACTGCTAAATATTTTGAAATAATGATTATGCTTTTTTTTAAATCCCACTCTCTTCTACATCAGGAAAGACTCTGATGAGGCAGATCTGGTGCTGGCCAAAGAAGCTAACGTGAAGTGTCCTCAGATCGTAATTGCTTTTTATGAAGAACGACTAACTTGGCATTCATGCCCAGAGGATGAAGCACAATAATTGTTTGCATTGCTTTTTTTATATATAAGAATATTAAAACCTGAAGTTCGATTTATTAGCAATGTGAGAAGCATACATTCTAACAAGTTTCGAATTTGATATTTTTTTGAAGTAGTATGTTTTGCATCAACAGCAAGTAAATAAAAGCTTTCTGCAACTTGTTTCATTTATCACAAGAGAGCATTTGATACTACTACTTCCTCCATATTAGGTAAAAGCTTTTATAAAACATGGGTGAACTTCCATAGTTACTACAGGATCATAATGAATGTCTAAACAAACTCACAGATGTTTTGTAGTCTTCTATACTATTGATGTGCATGTATATTCTTTACCCAGACCTAGACCTTTAAACCTGTAGGGTCATTCTTTTTAGTATTTGGGATCGCTTGGTCTTCAGAAGACTAGGTGAAAACTAACTTTGTAGTAATTTGAATGTTATCAGACTGTATATTGTTTACTTTATTGTAAATACTGGTGAACAGTGGTCAATAAAATAGTTTTATATTCTTCCTTTATACTGATAGGCTGTGACTCTTTTGAAGCCATATATTTCTCAACTTTTGATATGTTAAACTCAGTTTGTAATATATTAATTGTAAGTTGTTTTCTTGGGGGTAGGTTGATTATTAATATTACCCCATTGCCCCTCTCTAATCACAATTCCAGGAAAATACCAGGCTTTGATTATTACTGTTTTTATTTTGTGAATACTACCTGAGATGTAGTTCTTTTCAGGCAGGAAGGGCCTGTGAAATGAATGTGCTTTGAGTACTTGTGTAAGTCACACATAACAACCATATGGGTTAGGTATGGCAGTTGGTCCCAAGGCCAAAGCATTAGCTTTTGCTTTAATTTCAGGAGGCAATAGTGTAGCTAGGGCTGGTTTGGAAGGAATTGTTCTTCAGACCATCACCTGAAGAATTCTTACCTAGCTCAACCCTTAAAATGGGATATTTAAATGAAGATAGTTAAGTGATTTTACTTGGAACAAAAGACTTAGTTTCTGTTTCTGTTTGAATTTTAAAAATTAGTCCTATAATCAGCTGCTTGGGGAACTCAGGAGGAGGAAAGTTTCCTTTTTTCATTCTTTCTCCAGTTGCCATTCATCTTTTCAGTTGCTTTCATCTCCTGCACCTTCTTTTATTTGTGTTTTGACTACCACAGTATAGTTTGCCTTGAGCTGTGCTTCTATATGTCCATGGCCAAGATTGTTTCAGAATTATCCTTAATTTAGAGTTTTGACTAAAAAATATAATCCTGGAATACACTGTCAGGGTCGTAAAATCATAGAATAGTTTGTGACCTCAAGGATAATCTAGTTCCAACACCCCTGCTATGGGCAGGGACACTTTCCACTAGACAAGGTTGCTGCAAGCCCCATCCAACCTGGTCTTGAACACTTCCAGTGATGGAGCAGCCACAATTTCTCTGGGCAACCTGTGCCAGTGCCTCATCACCTTAATGGTAAAGAATTTCTTGCTATAATATCTAACGCTACTTTCTTTCAGTTTGAAGCCATTTCCCCTTGTCCTGTCACTACATGCCTTCGTAAAGTCTGTCTCCAGACTTCTTGTAGGCCTCGTTTGGGTCCTGGAAGGTGCTCTAAGGTCTTGCTGGAGCCTTCTCGTCTTCAGGCTGAACCCTGACTCTCTCAGCCTGCCTTCACAAGAGAGGTGCTACAGCCCTGTGACCAACTTAGTGGCCCTTCTTAAAGGTGATACAGCTGATGTTTTCCAAGCATCTTTTTTTAGAAGATTAAAAAAAAGATGGGTGGTCCTGGATACCCTCATGGTGTGCTGAGGAGTAAATGAAGGAATTCAGCCTGTGCTTGAAGTTCTTTTTATACTGTTTCACAAATCATTACTATAACTATTTCTCCTCTCAATAGTTGATCCATTTATATTGTTGTCTGAGCTTAATGAGACTGAAGTGTTTGCTAAGGAGGATGAGTTAAGAGGAAGACCAAGCTCCTCCCTCCAAGCAATTGTAAATCCAAATTTAAGAGGCTCCAATTGAGGAAGTATGGAGAAACAAAAAGATAACAGCCCTTTATTAAAGGTATATATGTGTATTGGCAGAACAACCAAAGATCACAAAAAGAACTGAACAATAACTGCACCCAAAAGTTCCCTACAAAAAAATCCAGTACTTTTCTTCTTTTGGCATAATTGTAACCACGATGAGCAGGGGGTGCTGTTCAGCTCTGGCGGTCGCTGTGTGGCACCCGGGTGCACGGGAGAAGCCAAAAACGGAGGTCTCCGCTCGCACCACGAGGGGGAAGGGAAAGGGGCTCTTCTCACGAACTCACACTGTCAGTGGCTGGTTCTGGCCAGGATTTCCCCCCTCACCTTCATCGATGGGCACAAGCTGCTGTCAACATGGGAACAGAAGAAGGAAAGGGTGACCTCCTCCCCAAAAGGTTCTTCTGCAGATGGGTCAAACCTTTCTGATGAAATCGGAGCAGGTCTGGGCTGAGGGCAGAACAGGGCCAGAAACAGCCAGGTGACCAGGCCAAAACCGAAATGAACCTCGGACCCCTCCACACACACACCCTCCCTGAGTCAGGGTAAAAGTGAAGTCACTGCTGTTTCCTGAGGAGAGGCAAAAAATCTCACACGCCCCCTTCCCACCTCCCAGTCTTCTGACAGCCATCAGTCTGGAATGCAGGCCTGCTAGTTAGTTCTGTGTGTGTCAACCACCCTCCCCCTCCCTTGTTCAACATCTTTCTTCTACTGTGATGCAGGGGAAAGGAAAAATTCCCAGCTTGGGCTTTTTTTTTTTTTTTGAGCAATTAAACCTTGATCAGCTGGAAGGCAGGAGGGCTCTGCAGAGGGACCTGGACAGACTGGAGAGTTGGGCTGATTCCAACAGGATGAGGTTCAACAAGGCCAAGTGCCGGGTCCTGCACTTTGGCCACAACAATCCCCTGCAGCGCTACAGGCTGGGCACAGAGTGGCTGGAGAGCAGCCAGGCAGAAAGGGACCTGGGGGTGCTGATTGACAGAAGCTGAACATGAGCCAGCAGTGTGCCCAGGTGGCCAAGAAGGCCAGTGGCATCCTGGCCTGGATCAGGAACAGTGTGGCCAGCAGGAGCAGGGAAGTGATCCTTCCCTGTACTCAGCGCTGGTGAGGCCACACCTGGAGTATTGCGTTCAGTTCTGGGCCCCTCAGTTCAGGAAGGACATTGAGGTGCTGGAGCAGGTCCAGAGAAGAGCAACCAGGCTGGTGAAGGGACTCGAACACAAGTCCTATGAGGAGAGGCTGAGGGAGCCAGGGTTGTTTAGCCTGGAGAAGAGGAGGCTCAGGGGAGACCTCGTCACTCTGTACAACTCCCTGAGAGGAGGTTGTAGCCAGGTGGGGGTTGGTCTCTTCTCCCAGTAAGACAAGATGTCTTCCTGGGAGCTCTTGTCTATCAGTAAGACAAGAGGGCACGGTCTTAAGCTCTGCCAGGGGAGGTTTAGGTTAGATATTAGGAAGAAATTCTTTACAGAGAGGGTAATCAGGCATTGGAATGGGCTGCCCAGGGAGATGGTGGATATGGCACTTAGTGCCGTAGTCTAATAACCACAGTAGAAGTGGGTCAAGGGTTGGACTTGGTGATTTCAGAGGTCCTTTCCAACCTGGCTGATTCTATGATTCTATGACAATTGTGAAACAAAATCTGTTATTGTGGAACAACTAATTATAGTTAAACAGAGGTAGCTAAATTGGTGCCACATGAACTTTTTACTAAAGATTTTTTATTACTGGTTTTGGGAGAATTCAGTCTCCATGTGTTTGTGGCTCTAGGAAAAACCTGATATTCCTGTTACCTTGCGAGTTCCCTTGCACCAGATAATGATTTCACTGCTTAGCTGACCTCTCTTGCCTGTTCCTTAGACATATTACTCTAACTTTGTCACAAACGCAAGCCTTATACAGAGTTTATGGCTTAATTTTTGGGGGGCCTATAACAGAAATATTTATACACCTAGTATGTAGGATTCTGAAATCCTTACTTTTTTATCCAGTAACTTGAGAAATATATGAGCTAAACAAGAATTCCAAAGCAGCTTGTGTTCTCCTGCCAGCTTCTTCAGTATGGAGTGCTTTTTAAAGAGTCTTAAAACTTGCTCCAGAAGTGTCATTTTACAGCCTGAAACTGCAGTTTCTCTAACTTGTTTCAAGTGTGCATATCAAGTTTGATATTGCTGATTTGATACAGGTTAAACAGTTGATTTAAATTACTGGTTATTGTAAGTGGTAGACAAAGATTTTTGTTAAAAGGTTGGTTCTCCTCATTTTGTAACCCTTAAAAATATGATTTGTAACTAGATACAGCTTTTTACACTATAACTGGTTCTTCTTTCTGATTTCATAAAAATACACTGTATTCACTTTTAAGCAACTTTACAGCTTGTTAGACAGTTATTTAGATTCCTAATTTTTTATTTTATGATGGTAGATATGCTGACTGGTATTTGGTTCCTTTTTTTTTTATTTTTTTTTTTTTTCCCGAACTGCATTTTGATAGTAATGAAAGCAACTCTTTAAAGCTACCGGTTATGTACCGGTTATGTAGAGTTATCCTGACTGTGCTGCATACATAGGCAAAAAGTTAACAAATGTTACTAATTTAAAATTAACTGATTAAATAAATGAGATATCTTCTGTAGTGCGGAGGTTTTTTGTCATTGTCCTTTATACCAAACCAAATAGGTTTCAGGCTGTCATTTTGTGATTGCTCTGTGTGCTGCTGTCTTGACAAAAGAAAAAAAAAGCACACCACAAAAAAACCAGGTGTGCTTGCTCCAATACTTCTCAGTCTGGCTGAAGAAAATACTCAGGTTAAACATAACCAGGTGGTGCCAGGTTATGCAAAATTGAAATCATGATCAGTTATGGCATCATCCTCCTACAGTCTGCTTCCTACTTCTTTGCTAGGAAAGAATAAAACTCCTAATTTGCTTTTTACTATTTTATTAATTGCAAATTAAAGAGCAATTGCTGTATAAATGGAATAAAACAAATATTCATAGTACCTACAAAAAACCTATCAGCGTTGCAAATGAATTTTATCAGTTCAGCACAAATCTATTCTACATGCTTTGCGGTAATTTTTCTAGATTTATGATCCAGTTCTCCTTACAACTGTTGGGCAGTTTTTATCAATAGATTATAGTACATTTAGGACTCAACATATGTTGTCATACTTTCAAATATAACTAGAACTACATTTTCCCTTTAACTGCAGATTGACTTATTTGTTCATCTGAATTAGGCTCTTGCACTGTAAAAGATTTTACTCCTCTCCTGTTCTAAGAGTTTTCTTCAACATCCTCAGCATTTTCCTTATCGCTGGTGTCCTCTCTGTCAGTTTGGAATGTCTTCTCAAAATGCCACCTTTACTCATCTTTTGAATTTAGGTGCTTATGTTAAGACATGTCTACTCTGCTGACAGAGGCCTCTAAAATTGGACTAGTAGCCAAGCCAGATGCCCCCAAATTTGTTTCTGAGGTACTTTCCACAAAATGAAA